AAACAACTTTACATCAACCAGAGAGCAGTACGACATTAGGCATGCAGGAGTAAGGTAGGTAGGGACTCCAGCAGTGGAAGAAAAGCCTAGGGGAAAGCGGGACAGCAGTAAACCACATGCTGCATTGGTCAGAGGACTGCAGAGGCTCTGTCCCAGACATGCCGCTCCCACTAGGTTCAGTTTCAATTTGCTAAGAAGAAAGAAGAAGGTGGAATGGGAACATTTGTCAACAATCTTCCAATGTATCTGATCACTTTTTTTATCTCTTTTTCCGCCCAACCCTTTCTCCTGCCAAATGTATCACATATTTCCAGAAAAGTAAGAAAAAGCATGTAGAGCTGATAGAGCAGGATATAATCTAAAGGTATTTGTTGCAAAGACTGACTATGCCTTGGCCGTACCCCTCAGATATTTCAAGCTGATTGACAATTGTCAAGATCTTCATCTGTGCCAGGGTTTGGTTTTTTTGTTTGTTTTCTCTTTTTTCCTTCCTGAAATTTCAAATATCAAGTAATTTTATTCCTTTCCCTCTCCCTCCTACCGCTTCTCAACCAATGACTCCATGGAGATCAGGACTGAACTAAGATGGCATCAGTCCTGTCAGATAAGAACCATGTTTAGAGAATATGTAGTAGAGCCTGATTCAGGAAGGAAGCTACCTAAGTCATGTCTGGCACAGTGGAGTGTTCAATATCTGCACACATGACCTGAACAGACACATCTGTAGAGGTACCCCAGGATAAGCCCACAAGGAATTCCATGATGACTTATCGAGGGTTTCCAGACATTTATTGAGAGACTCAGAAGGGTGGAGTATAAGACCCTCAAGGGTATAAGAAGTGGGGACCTCAGACCACTGCTGAGACAGCAGAACTCCACACACCAAGGTGCCGCTCTCCGCTGTGCTGGTGTAGGGTACATAGAACCGGTCTGGCTCCCTCACATAGATGTGTGGGTAACCGGAGGGAGCAGCTCCTCACAACGTTGGAGGAGTTGATAAAGCAGTGTTCCAACAGCCTTGAGCCCGGGTCTCACAGCCTTGAGCCTTGGGTGCAATAAACTGCCCTGTAGCCTTGAGTAGGCTCGCATGTGCAGCTCATGATAGTTACTTCACCCTTCTGGCCTGTAGCCTGCTTTGTTTGGGGCTAGAATTTAAGGGATAGGAGCTTTGGACAGGGTGGGGAGTCAGGGCACCAACTTGGACCCAGGCTTGTGGCCTGTGTGACTCCCTCCACATGGGCTTGTGGCCTGTGTGTGGCATGGATACAGGCTTTGTGGCCTGTATGATTTCCCCAGACCGGGCTTGTGCCTGCGTAACTCTCCCGAATAAAGGCATGTCAAACATCCCCAAGGCTCCACGCATCTTCTTCTGTCTACCTGAGCCACAAGTGAACCTGTCCAGCCTAGAGAGGCTGCAATACAGCTGGTCTCCACACTGCCATGCTGCCAGAGGCTCTGTCCTGCTGGACCAAGGACATCATCTGCCGCACTGCCAACTGGCTCCGGAGATTCTGCCTCATAAGACACTCCTCTGCCTACCATGCTGTTCCTCAGACCTGTAGATTGAGACTCTGGGACTCAGATTCATTATCACCTAATTCTCTTGTGTGATGTTATTACTAATTGTTTCTGAGTGATTATTATTGTTATTAAGTTAGTATGGATTTGGATTGAATCTGCATTAATAAAAGCCGAGTGAATTTACATTAATGAAAGCTGAGTGAACAGCATAGTCACCTGTGCTGGTTCCCATTTATTTCTTTAAGTTAGTGTCACATGTAGGATGGGTGGTCATATAAGCAGCTCGATGCTCTCTGTTCTTAAGGCCTGCATCAGGTGATGTAAGTAGGAATCAAAGGCTGGCTTATAGGAAAGACTATATCACAAAACATATGCTTGTGACAGACTCCCTGCCTCCTTGGATGGGATAATTTCAAGGCAACTGTTCTGCACATTCCCAGGATTTTCACATGGACTTAAGCTCAAGTAGCCCACTATGGGTAGGTGGTTGAATAGAGTACCCTTTAGAGACTGCCCTTGCTTCCCAGGACCTAACAGTTACAAACATTTCCCAATTAGCTTATTGTTCACTCAAATACATGTCTCCAACTCTGTTCCTGGGACAGAAGTCAGATAGTGAACCGAGAAGAAATTATTGTATTACTAATATGTGGGGACAATTATGGGTTATCTTTTTTCCCTTCATAGATCTGTTTATTACAGGTACCTTCTTCAATAAACATGAACTTAGACTTTAATTGGACTAAACAGACATTTAAGGACTAGTTATTACTATATGGCAGACATTTTACTAGGTCCATGAGCATGTTAGTCTTATTTCATTAACATCTATTACAATTTTTGTCCATTCAATTTATAAGCTTTGTTTCTCTGGGTTTCAACACATCACAGTAACAGCCAATAAACTTTTATTTATTTATTTATTTTGGTTTTGCACAGATTATGGGGTAGACTTCTAAACCTTCCTTTTAAAAATCCTACACCAAGCAAAAATATCAGAAGAGGAGGTGTCTTAATTGGTTTCACAGAGTCCTCTCTTTAACCATCTATAACCTTCCATTTTACATCCCCCTCTGTGCTACCTTAGCCCCCTGAAACACCTACTTGAAACATCTGTTTTCTAGGTTGTTGACTGGCTATGAAGCCACTTCAGAGTACTTTTTTCTGCTGCCATGTATTAGTCAGTAATACTTTGACTGAAAGTAATAGAATACGAGGAGGACCCCCACAAAAAAGAGAATTATCTTCTGGAGGGTGGGCTCCTGGCAGTATAAGCTTCCCCCTCTAGGTGAGCATTCTAGGAAGCCATCTGTATCAGTGTAACAGCTGGCATTATTGTGAGAGGCTGCTTTCAGCCTCAGTGACTTTTTTGAAGACCCTTTCAATGAGTTTGCCCTTTTCATGATGGTTGAAAATTGCCCACACTGTGCTGAGTGTTCAGCAGTTTTTGACCAAAAATGGCATGACACCCCATCCCAGCCTCCTTATTCACCCAGTCTCACCCAAGAAACTGGATGAAAAAAGTTCCTCAAAGGGAAATGTTTTGCCATTGTGGAAGAGGTGAAATGAAAGATGGCAGAAGCACTAAAAAGAGCCCAAAATAATGAGTTCAAAAACTGTTCTGAGTAGTGTAAAAAATGTCTTGATAGGTGTATTGCAGTAAATGGAGAATACTTTGAAAGTGACTGAAGTTTAAGCATGTAAGAATAAGTACACAATTTTTTATAAATAAATTCCATTTTGGGGGGGGGTCTCCCCTTGTACTTGGCTCACAGTGACTGCAGAAATAAAAGCATTGGATTATCTGATATAACAAAAGGTTTGGAAGTCAATGACTGCAAAGTTGGTGTAGTAGCTCAATGCTGTCCTCTACTTTATTTTCAGCTCGGCTTAACTCAGTGTGTTGAAAACATCGTTTCTCATGGTTACAGAATGGTTGCCAGAATACCTCATATTACAAGGCAGGAGAGACTCAGACAAAAAGGGACTTCTTGTATTATTTAAGAGAAAAAGGTGGTTGTTTTTTCCCCATAAATCCAGGTAGAGTTCTCTTTATATCACATGAAATAAAACTGGATCATGTAGCCACTTTAGATTATTCGCTAGCAAAGAATACTGATTGACTGAGACCACTTCTGATTTATTTTTCTAGCTTAGGCATAGCTCCAATAGAAAATATACAGGCATGCTGCTGACAAGTGTGGCGGGTTAGTGAGGATGGCCGCTAGACACAATGAATAGTGTCTGCCATCCTGCGGGGCCTGTTGATACTACCAAAGTCATTCTTTACAAAAACCCTGCACCATAATCTTAGTTAATGAGAATTCCTCCCTCTTTACTTTTTAAAGGCCACTTTACTAAGACACAATGGATATACAAAAGGCTGTACATATGTAATGTAGACAACCTCATGAACTTGGGGATAAGTATATCTCCACGAAACCATCAGTAGACTCTATGCTATAAACATCCATTACTTCCAAAAATTTCTTTCTGTTTTATCATCATCATCATCATCATCATCTTTAATAATAACATGTAGCATAAGAATTTCTTTTTTGCAGAAACACCTGCAAAAAGAACTAAGTCATGGAAAATTCATAAAATCTTGAGTATTTTTGGATTTCTGGAAAGTGGAATCAGAATAAGGCATGAGATGAGAACAGTCTGGAGTAGTCAGGAACCAAGTAATAAAGGGCCTCATTAATACACCAAAAATTGAGTAAGGGATTGGGTTAATCCTTTTAAGCAAGCTGGACATTCCCATATAATGTCTACCAGGAGAGCTCTAATGAGATTTTCTTTCTCTGATCCACTTAAGAAAATTCCACCTCTCCTCATTGCCATCACCATCATCAATGCGTCAGTCTGTTATAGACCTTGATTATCTGAGTCTGCCTTCCTTTTAGACTACATATTCCTTACGGCAATAACAATATATTATTTATTTTGGGATGCCCAGAGCACTAAAACAGTTGTTGAATGGATGAATAAGCTGGCTTTCATTTTTTTCCACCTACCTTTTGTTTCCTAATTTCTTTCCCAATCATTAAGTATAAGTTCCTACACCTTCCCAGTTTTACATGCTTAGATCTTTCATGCTTATTCCAAACAGATTCTAGAGAAAATTACAGTGAAAACAAACCTGTCATCTATTTGAAGAAGAAAAGAAGGACAGAAAAAAAAAGACAAAAGGATAATGTGAATAAATGAACATTTTCCTGCACCTGTCATAGCTTGCCCTTTAGGTTGCTATGAAGGAATTAAGCTCCTGGAAGGAGCAGTGGCAGGATGGGTGCTGTCTCTCCCTGAGGTTCGTTATCCTGCTCTGTGTCTCCCCTTCCACAGCCATGTCCATGTCATGTACACATGGTCTCTTGAGCTTCCCGTTTCACCTGACCTCACTTATCTGAGCACTTCACCACCATCACTAAACTCTTGTATACTTTTATGAATCCCCACATAGCAAGGCTAACCTTGTGCTCACATCAGCAGCACATGCACTAAATTTGGAACGATACAGAGAAGATTAGCATGGGCCCTGCGCAGGGATGACACGTGAACTCGTGAAGCATCCCATATTTTAAGAGCCCATCTCACAACTACTGAGCACCAATTAACGTGTTTCATTTCCATGAAAAAGTGCAGAAGAAAAAATAAAAAAGGTTAACCTTTTTCATTGACACTGCTTTGTGTTCAAATAAATGTATTTTCCAGGAAATAGAAGTTGCAAATTTGGGTTCATAAATTTGATTCAAAAATGTTTATAATCTTTGTGTAAATGACACCGACAAACATATTAAATCCCTGTATCATATGTACTACTTGAATGTACCACTAACTGGGAAAAAAGCAACCCAAAGGATATTTAATAAATGGTTGATGTTTGTGAACCTCCGGGTCATTCTAGGCATGATTGTGAGCATCTTGGATTTGTCGGGGATGACTGGTGTTGGTGAAGCTGAGAGAACAGAGACAGAGTGGTTTCTGAGGAAAGATGAGACTAGCCAAGCCCCTTCTCAAGGAGGGACTAAAGCAACCAATGGTATTACTTGAAATTAGGGCTGGGAAGGGGAATTTCTCAAGAGTTTTTAAGGTTAAATATCAAAAGTACATGAAAAAGGAGAGCTGAATGGTAAGTACTTGTTTTAATGAAAAAGTGAATGCAAACTAACTGCCAAAATTTAAAGCATCACAAGAAGTTACAGAGAATTAAGATACAAAGTGGAAAAATTAAAACCCGAGGGACAAGAACGAGAATAACTGGTGTCAAGTTAGTCTCAATTTAGGATAATTTTGCCTATAAATACTTTGATGTCTATAGTTGCTTCCAGCATGTCACTTGTGATATTATGTGCAGATAAAACAGTCACAGTTAAAAGCCAGAGATAAGATAAAAAGGGATTTGAAATCTCTCATTCTTCATTACTCTTTAGGTCTGGGTCATTTGTTTGCACATACTAAAAAAAATATAGCCATGTCTGGAAGGAAAAGTTTCTGATTGACCATAATAAAATATAGATGCTTTACTTCCAAGGCTCTTTAGAATAGATCTTTTCACCTTCTGAGAAACAGAATGCCAAGATAGTACCTGATAGAACAATAGTTTACCAAGTTTATTCTTTGTAGTCACTATTCAAAATGACCTCAGCCCTATAATGTCAGCCAGTTCCCACCATTGGAGAGGAAAGCTTTAATAACTTTAATCCCTCTCAAAGTATTCTAGAACTTTCCTTGAGACCTTGGAAACTTTTCTTTTTTGTGACCTCTGCATAGCTAGACAAGCATCACCACGTAAGCACTGAAGCCTGCTTTATGAAGGAAACCACCTCACCCAGTGTCTGGAGCCAGAAACACATGCAGACCTTAAGTAAAACGATATCAAGTAGGATTACATTTTCTGTAAAAACATAGTTTGGGGGCTTGGCAAATACTCGATAATAAAGCTTTTGAAGCAAGTTAAATCCTTTTAATTTGTGAAGAAATGAATTTTATAGAATCCATGGGCTAAGTTTAGATGCCACATTGACAACAGCACAAAAGGGAGTTTTTGAAATAATAAAACTAAGTGACAAATGTAGGATTAGATTGAGCCAATATCAGTATGCCAACAAGGGAATTAGCACAGAAGAAACACAATTTCATAGGATTTATAGAAAAGCTTTACCATCAGCATTCAAAGATATACTGTGGGAGGAACTTGACATTTCACACAGTTGTAAGAGCTGCTGTGGAAGCAGAACAAAGTTATGGAGTTTTCATTTAGTATGAAAATAAAGTAAAAAACAGATTTTAAAAAATAATACAGTCTAACTATAATTTGGAATCTTAGGTTTGAAAGTATTGATTCATCCCAGGAAATGATGTATAATTGAGCAAAATCTGAAGTAAGTGTTATGATCTATACCTGCCACTAATAACTTTAGACAAGTCTTTTAACTCTTCTATGTCTCAGCATTCACAGAAGGGTGCATTATATGATTGCTGCAGGTCCTTCTTGTCCTGTGATTTAGTGAAGTGCTAAAGGATCCAATAAGAAACTTCATATTTCAAACTGTCTCTAACTTTGTACATATAAATCAAATAAGCCATGGTTTAGATAATATAATAGAGACAACATTCTATCACTATACTTTTTCATTCTCACCAGTGAGATTGCACATAATCTAAGCTATAATGTTGTTGAAAAGTAAGAGTCAATAGTGTTCAGCTGCTATCATGGGCTACATATTGATTGACAGAGTCAACTTATTTCTGCTTTGAATGAGAAAATTTGACAGAATCACCAATCTATTAGAAGGTCAAGAAAAGTCTGAGTATGTTATTACTCTAAATTAGCTTAAAATTTGGCCACAATGTTATAATTTCTAATAGAATATTTATGTGAGCCCTAAAACATTTCTGAAAAGATATATTCCAAACAATTTCTTTTGAGGAGAGAGAGCAAGAAAGAAAATATGGGTGATTTTCACTCTTTTGTCATATTTTAGCTATTTGAATTTTTAAAATTAGGCAGTATTTCTATAGTTCCACATAGACAGCATAAAGATATATATTTTAGAAAGCAGTTATGATCCTTATGTGTGGTCATAACTTGTCAATGTTTGTGGTGTATATCCTTGATCTGACCAAGAGATTATCAACTGATGGCTGTTGGTATCATTTCAATGCCAACAAAGATCCCCAATTTGGGGTACAGTAAAGGGGGAGACACTACTGAGCACAAAAACTCAACTGTGATACAGCACAACTGTGGAACAGCTCAATAGTGTTACAGCTCAATTATGAAACTATGAAATAGGATACCTATGAAGTGGTCTTGGGAAAGGCAGCTTGACCTGGTGTTGTAGCTTAGCCGTTCTCTGCCTAGATACCTCTGCTCTTGTCTGGTCAGCCCAGATGGCACTTATGCTCTGGTACACCAGGGCATCTTTGGTGTTTCAGCTCCAGTCACGGAAACACAGGAAATACAGTCTTCAGTGGAAAGGGAAAGTGTGTTCCACCTAGACAGAGGTTAAGCTGCCTTATATTGAGAAGAGTCCTCACCTCTGATTCCTGACTGATGCATGCTCATGCAAATGAGGACTCCAAACTCTTGTAGTTTGGCTAAAAAAGCACTATCTTGACTGGTTAGCATGGAGCCTTTCTGATTGGTGAGTAAAAATGCAAATGAGGATATAGCTAGGCAGCTCTAATTAAATGGAAAAGGTCTCAGTCACATTGGTTGAAATATGATTCCAGGAACTCCTTTTATAAGGATCAGCTCAACTCCTGGCCAAGATGGAAGCATAGGTAGATATGCTTTGCTCCTTGCACAACCGGAAGAAATGACAACAACAAATTTAAATTTAAAAATACAACCAGAACTGCCAGAAAATTGAACTGTATGAAAGTCCGACAATCAAGGAGCTAAAGAAGAAACATTCATCCAGACTGGTAGGAGGGGTGGAAATGGGCAGCTGGGGCAGAAGGGATGCAAGTCAAGGCAGCAGGCCAGGTAGGTGAGGCGGGGGCTGGCTGACTGGGCGGTCCCACATTCGCATGTGGATAAGCCCAGAGGAACAGCTGGGGAGCAAGACAGACTGTGCAACCCAGGGTTCCAGCATTGGAAGGTAAAGCCTCAAAACCTCTGGCTGTAAAAATCTGTGGGGGTTGTGGCAGTGGAAGAAATTCCCAGTTCACAGGAGAGTCTGTTGGAGAGGCCCACAGGATCCTAGAATGTACAGAAGCCCACCCACCTGGAAATCAGCACCAGAAAGGTCTCACTTGTGGGAAGAAAAGGAACAATGCTGCTTGTTTGGCTCTCGCACAGCCAAACAAGCAGCACTGTTCCCTCTCTGACCCCTCCCCGACACACAGCCCCACAACTGCCACTGAGTGGTTTGCTCCATCCTGGTGAATACCTAAGGCTCTGCCTCTTACAATATAATAGGTGCTCCAAGACAAAGAAATATGTACCAAATGAAAGAACAGATCAAAACTCCAGAAAAAGAAATTAAGCAATGAGGAGATAGACAACTATCGGATGCAGAGTTCAAAATACTGGTAATCAGGCTGTTCACAGAAATGGTTGAGTAAGGTCGCAAAATGGAGGAAAAAGTGAAGGCTAGGCAAAGTGAAATAAGGAAAAATATACAGGGCAACAACAGTGAAGGGAAGGAAACCAGGACTCAAATCAACGACTGGGAGCAAAGGAAGAGATAAACATTCAACCTGAACAGAATCTAGAAACAAGAATCAAAAACATGAGGAGAGGCTTAGGACCCTCTGAGACAACTTTAAACATTCCAACATATGAATCATAGGGGTGCCAGAAGGAGAAAAGGAAGAGCAAGAAATTGAAAATTTATTTGAAAAAATAATGAAGGAAAACTTCACCAATCTGGTGAAGGAAATAAACTTCTAGGAAATCCAGGAAGCTCAGAGAGTCCCAAAGAAATTGGATCTAAGGAGAAACACACCAAAACACATCATAATTAAGTTTAAAGATAAAAGATAAGGAGATTAAAGATATGGAGAGAATCTTAAATGCAGCAAGAGGAAAGGAGAGAGCTACCTACAAAGGAGTTCCTATAAGACTATACGCTGATTTCTCAAAAGAAACTTTACAGGCAAGAAGGGGCTGGAAAAAAGTATTCAAAGTCATGGAAGGCAAGGACCTACTTCCAAGATCACTCTATCCAGCAAAGCTATCATTTAGAATGGAAGAACAGAAAAAGTGCTTCCCAGATAAGGTCAATTTAAAAGAATTCATCATCACCAAGCACTTATATGAATTGTTAAAAGGACTTATCTAAGAAAAAGATCAAAAACAATGAATGGTAAAATGACAACAAACTCACAACTATTAATCACTGAACTTAAAAAACAAAAACAAAAACTCAGCAAACTACTAGAACAGGAACAGATTCACAGAAATGGAGATCACATGGAGGGTTATCATCAGGGAGGGGGAAAAGGGAGAACAACAAAAAAGGTGCATGGAATAAGAAGTTTAATTGGTAGGTACAAAATAGGGGGAGGTTAAGAATAGTATAGGAAACGGAGAAGCCAAAGAACTTATATGTACAATCCATGGACATGAAC